ATTTATTGCATCAGTAATAATGAAGGTTAAACATGTTGACAGGCTGATTTAAACAAACACAGAAGTGATGATTATAACCTGAAATAAACTCTTTGAAAGCTTCACACATCCTTTCCTGTCATGTCAGGAGCTTTGGACATTTATACCCCACTTCCATATTTCACAGGAACCTTTAACCCTCCAGCAGCTGCGACTGTTTCAGCTTTTTAACCTGAAACAGTCGCAGCAAACAGAAAAAGGACAATTTCTCATTTTAGACGCGCTGAACTGAACATTTCCTGGTCTGAGCTCAACGAGTTCCGTATTTTAGCCGGATGATCAGTTTTAAGCTAAACTCTGACATTTGAACCTAAATGTGACGTCGACGCTAAATCCACAGGTGAAACCCAGCTGACAGGTAACAGCAGCCTTTCGTGTTCAGCTGGAAACAGCTGACGCCGATTACAATAAAACAGCTTGAATGACTGAAGACATTAGAAAATGAAATTTTAACATCGGTTATTTTAAAGTTCAGTCTGACTCGGGAGCGAAAACATGATTAAAACACGAAATCTCTGTCTGTCACACACACACACACACACACACACACACACACACACACACACACACACACACTCTATTGCTTCATCCGGGGTTAGCCTGCGGGGCTACAGGCCGTTGTTAGCAGATAGCTCGGCAGGTATTGTCCGCCGGCGGCGGCTCCTTACCCCGGTAAAAGGCGTGGAGGTAGAGCAGGATCAGCAGCATGGTGTCGGCCTCATTCCTCGGTCTGGTCGGTGTCCGAACGTGGTGGCTGGCTGGAGCTGAAGAATCGAAACACACACCGACGCACTTCCTCGCGGAGCTGGATAATCTGGACGTCTCCGTCCGCAGACTGCTTCTGTCTTGGAGAATTTCCGGTTCCGCCTCTTAAAGCTGTACGTGACAAACGATAACAAAACACCAACAACTGCTCCACACGGTGTTTGATCACCGCTCACAGCCGCTGGGACAGACTGTGTTTACCAGCAGAGCTCAGCCCCACCTCATTTGTGTAGCCAGGTGAGTTACACTGCCCTCCCACCTGAGGGTCCCGGGCCCTGCACGTCGAAGCTCAGCAATGCCCGTGCGTGGACTCGCCCTCACACCAGCTCACACGGGGCTGAGTATCGACCGACCAGGGATTCCCCCGCGCGTTCACGTGAGGGTGACGTCAGCAGCATGCGATCAATCACATGAAACGAGAGTTAAGGCTTCCAAATAAATAAATTAATGAACCGTTTATTTTATGATTTTCTGTGTTCAAGGAAAACGAAATGCATTCTAACACATTGTGTTGCACTTTAGTAACTGTGTAACTGAAAATCTGAAATATGCAGACTGGGTTTTTGTTTGTTTTTTGTTTTATGTCATTATATTACAGGTTTGGTTTTAGTTTTTAATATATTAAAGATACAATCAGTCATTTTTGAAGTTATTTAATCAAAAAAAGAATGTTGTACTCATAAACTTACATGTTAGTCTGTAATTTCATCTTCCAACAAACTGATAAGTTTAGAATTAACTTCTTAAAACAGAAACGGGCGCCAGTTTGTGGAGGCTGTCATGCTGAACACAGCGGCAAAGATATCTGGATACTGCACCCTGCCGCTCAGCCTTATCACATTTTACGCATCAGGCTGGAGTACACCAAAGGCAGAGGACAAGAGCAACTGTAGGTGTTTGCATACTGTGGACGGACAGCTAGATTCATACCTGCATCATACTTGTTTGATCATCTGAGAAGGGGAAGCCTTCACCAAAGAAACCAGAATATGAACGAAAGGGACTACGCCACCGGCACCTTAATCAAATCCCACCCTCTTCCTCCTCAAGCTGAAGTCTCTAACACATGGAAATGTGCATAAACGTGCTCATTTACTCCTGATATTGTGACTATTACTTATTATCAGCAGATCGGACGTGACCCTGCTGTTTCCAGACAGCTGACAACAATAACAGCTGGTTAAAAGTTAACAATTTACCAACTAATGTCAGGCTATACTTTCCCCTGATAAACAGTTTGGTTACATTTTCATTAAGGCCATTTCTCAATTCTCGAGTGCTCGAGTCCGCACTCGCGTTCTCGGCAACGCAGCGCGATTTATGTACAACAGCGTACTTGATGACACCACAGCTCTGGAGTTTGATTTAACTGTGATTAATATCTGCAATGGAAATTACACATGACATAAAAAAAATTATACATGATGTAGTAGATTTTTT